AAAAAAAAAAAAAAAAAAATTAAAAAAGAAAAAAAAAAACGGGGTGGCGCCTGTGGCTCAGTAAGTAGGGCGGCAGCCCCATATATCGAGGGTTGTAGGTTCAAACCCGGCCCCAGCCAAACTGCAACCAAAAAAAAAAAAAATAGCTGGGCATTGTGGCAGGTGCCTATAGTCCCAGCTACTCGGGAGGCTGAGGTAAGAGAATCACCTAAGCCCATGAGCTGGAGGTTGCTGTGAGCTGTGACACCACAGCACTCTACCAAGGGTGACAAAATGAGACTCTGTCTCTAAAAACAAACAAACAAAAACCTCATGTGCTTCCTGCCCTCCTGGGAGATCGTGCCTTCTGCTGTCTGAAAGTAATCCCAAGCCTGCTCTTTGTGACCACCAGCATCCTCCTGCCCCCCAGCACCAGGACGCTGAGGAGGGGAGGGGGTCACTAGGCAGGTGGCGCTGAGCCATGGATCCATGGTGAGACTAGTCTGAGGCAGAGGTGCTGTCTGCACTCTCCTGATGTGAAGCTATTCACCTGTAGCAGCCAAGAGGTCGGTAACAAAACCTCCACTCCATAAGATATGCTCGTGGAGCTTTCTTGGTTTTCCAATTATTCCCTTTAGTCTTTACCTGTCTCATAAGTGGGTTTGCACTTTTGAGACTTGTTCCTGTTCCAAATGAAGTGCCCAAGAATCTGGGAAGTAATTCAACCCCACCCAAATATCAAGTGGAAAGAGAATGAAAGCTCCATTGTATTGTCCCCTGCTGTTGCTGCATCTCACTGCCACATGGTGGTACTATTGAAGAGATCCCTGTACAGCTTTGTGGTCAGCCATGGGCTGTGGCTGGTAGGGTGTCACTACTGGTCTAGACCCAGCCTGCACCACAGGGAGGCCCTAGGCAGGGGACCAATCGTTCACATCTTCTTAACTCATACTGACATGCTGATATCATTCAGCTATCTGTCTCTTCCAGATCTCATGTAAAAATCTGAGCCCCATTGTTACAGGCAGGCCATGGTGGACCCTCATGAATGGCTAGTGCCCTCCTCTGGATGATGAGCGAGCTCTTGCTCTGTGAGTTCCCATGTGAAGAGGAGCCTGGCACCACACCGCTCAGTCCCTCTTCTGCCACGGAATCTGCACACACTTTCTGCCTTTGTCTTTGGCCATTAGTAGAAACAGCCCAAGTCCCTCACCAGAAGCAGATACTGGCACCATGAGCCAAATAGACCTCTTTTCCTTGTAAATTATTCAGCCTCAGGGATTCCTTTACAGCAGCCCTAAAAGGACTAAGAAATATCCACTTCTGTTGACCCTGCTGCCATTACAGAAACCCTGGGCTCAGAATAACCTCTAACATCATCCCATGGGCTTTCTTAAGACCACCCTGACCTCTAAGCCCTCTGCCCTGTGTCCATAGGCTGTCCTAAGACCACCCTGGCCCCCTAAGCACTCTGCCCCATGGGCTTTTCTGAGGCCACCCTGGCTCCTAAGCACTCTTTCCCATCCATGGCCTTTTTTAGACCACCCCAACCCCCTAAGCACTCTGCCCTGTGTCCATGGGCCATGCCAAGGCCATCCTGACCCCAAGCTCTCTGCCCTGTGCGGACACTGCCCTTACCTGAGGCATGATGGCTTTTACTCATGACCTTCACTGTCTTTTTAATGCTGCCCCTGGGTTAGATCTGTCCCAGCTGTGTTGGGTAGGAGGCTCCAGTTAGTCAAACACAGGGACTTTGCAGGAGGTACATTACATGTGAGTAGAACTGAGGCTTTGAGCTTAGGATGTTGAGCTGCTGACACTTGTAGGCTGATGGACACCAGGCAAAGGTGGTATTTGTAGAGAGGGCAGGTGTGCCCCCATGGTGCTGGGCCAGGAGAGAGGCTGGCAGTGCTGCAGCAGTGGAGGAACAACCCAGAAATGCCTCTGAAGCAGAGATGGGACCACCCTGGCTCCTCTTCACTCCCACCCTACAATTCTGCACCATCGTCTCCTCCTGACTAAACCTACCTAGAAGCTAACAGGCAAGAAGTCAGGGGAAATGCAGTTCTGTGCTGCAGAAGAGAGAAGCAGACAGGAAGTAGGCCTGAGAGTAGACCTGAGGATGTCAGCACAGCAGACAGCACAGGCCACAGGATGGTTTAAGGATTGGAGCACCCGTTCCTGGCAGAGGACCACATCTCTTGGAGTGGCAACCTTCCTCAGCCATGTTTGGCAATGATGGCATGTGCTGTGCAGAGCCTAATCCTACACCAGCTAGCAAATGCTGATTCTTAAATTTTCAGAAATTTTGTGAGCCAGTTGTTAAACACAGTCATTATTAAAATTAAATTGCATGAAACATAACTTAAATAAGTTACATTAGAAACAAAGATAACTCAAAACTCATCACTTCATAGTGATTGACAATATTTTATTATTATCTGTGCTTCACATTGGCTACTGGGCACGTAGCTACTTCTCCCAGTTCTGTGCTTGGAAGATTGCAAGTTGAGAGCTTGAAATTGCCCTTTGTGGAACACAGATACGACAGGAACCTGCACCAGCCACGGCTCGGCAACACAGAGAGCCAGTTGTTAGTGCTGGCCAGGACAGCACTGCTAGGTTCCCCCAGAGACACCCCAGACAATGTGTGACTGCCCAGTCTCCTGGACACAACTAAGACT